CCCCGGCGCACAGAACATCGTGAACGGCAAGGAGGTCACGGCCCACATCTACGAGTACACGACCCAGATCTCGGTCACGCCGAGCATGAAGATCGAGGGCGCGGAGAAGGGCGCGGTCCCGGTCCAGATCATCTTCTGCCTGAAGGAGAAGAACCAGAAGAAGATCAACTCGCACCGCTGGTTCTTCAACGCCTTTGGTCCCATCCTCCAGCCGAACGTGTGCGTCCTGCTCGACGTGGGCACGATGCCCGGCCCGACGAGCATCTACCACCTCTGGAAGGCGTTCGACATCAACTCGAACGTCGGCGGCGCGTGCGGCGAGATCGTCGCGCTCAAGGGCAAGTTTTTGCGCAACCTGCTGAACCCGCTCGGTGCGTCGTCCATGCCTCCTCTGTTTTCCCCCCCCCCCCCCCTCAAATATGGACTGACTGACTCGTACGCCACTCGGGCAGTGGCGGCGCAGAACTTCGAGTACAAGATGTCGAACATCCTCGACAAGCCGCTCGAGTCCGTGTTCGGGTACATCACCGTGCTCCCCGGCGCGTTCTCCGCGTACCGGTACATCGCGCTGCAGAACGACGCGACGGGCGAGGGGCCGCTGCAAAAGTACTTTCTGGGTGAGAAGATGGTGAGTCGCGCGCGCGCATCGATGTGAGGAAATATTGGGGTAGCAGAGGCTGACACAGGCGTTGGATAGCACGGTGCCGGCGCGGACATCTTCACGGCGAACATGTACCTCGCGGAAGATCGTATCCTGTGCTGGGAGCTGGTGTCGAAACGGGGAGGCGCGTGGATCCTGCACTACGTGAAGTCGGCGTACGCCGTCACCGATGTTCCGGACCAGGTGCGCGTGCTTGTTACTAGCAGCGGAACCGTTGTGGACCCCTCATGCCCTTGCAGGTCCCCGAACTTATCTCGCAGCGCCGTCGCTGGCTGAACGGCTCCTTCTTCGCCGCCATCCACTCGACGGTCAAGTTCCACTACATCTACCGCTCCTCGCACTCGTTCATGCGCAAGTTCTGGATCCACGTCGAGGCGCTCTACCAGCTCTTCAACCTCATCTTCTCCTGGTTCGGGCTCGGCAACTACTACATCGCGTTCGTCATCCTCTCCAACGCGCTCGAGGACAAGCAGTTCGGGATCAAGGGCATCAAGGTTCTCAACGACGTCCTCAACTACTTTTACCTCGGGATGCTCATCATGTGCTTCCTCCTGAGCTTGGGCAATCGACCGCAGGGCAGCAAGTGGTCGTACACGACCGCGATGCTCGGCTTTGCGCTCATCACGGTGTACATGACGGTGCGCCTCACTCACGTTTTTGTCTCTCTCTTCGGCGATTCTCCCCCGTGCTGACGTTTTTCGTTTCGTTACAGTTTTCGGCGTTCTTCCTTGCGGTGAAGGGCATTCAGAACGTGGAGCACAAGGAGGACAGCGGGATCAAGCTTTCCGACATCTTCACCAACTCGATCTTCCGCGATATCGTCATCTCGCTCGCGGCGACGCTCGGGCTGTACATCGTCGCCTCGCTCATCTTCGTAAGTCGGCTTGTTTCGTGTTGTTTGGTGTCGAAGGTTAACGTGATGGCCAGTTCGAGCCGTGGCATATGATCACCTCCTTCGTGCAGTACACCCTCATGGCGCCGTCCTACATCGCCGTGCTCAACGTCTACGCGGTATGTCATTATCGCCTCGCCCCCCTCCGCGGTCCGTCGCTCACGACCGGTGTTTTTCTCCAGTTCGCCAACGTGCACGACGTCTCCTGGGGCACGAAGGGCGACAACAAAGTCAGCACCGACCTCGGCGTGGTGAAGACGGGCAAGAACGCGAACGAGGTCGAGGTCGAGGTGCCGACGGAGGAGAAGGACATCAACGCCGCGTACGAGGACGCGATCCACGTGCTCCAGTCCAAGCCGCCCAAGGCCGAGTCCAAGCCCGATCCGCAGACGCAGCAGGAGGACTACTATCGCCAGTTCCGGACGAACGTGCTCCTGGTCTGGACGCTATCGAACGTGAGTGAGCCCGCCCCCCCAACGCGAAGGCGATGAACGTGCGGTTGTGCTGATATCGACATGCAGGCGCTGCTTGCTGCGCTCGTCGTGTCGCTCACGGGATCGGCTGCATCGAAGAGTGCGCAGCATACGGTGAACGGATACATGTCGTTCATCCTCTTCTCCGTCGCGGGCCTCGCATGTAAGCATCTCACGTTTTTTTCTTCTGGTTCGTGATCACACGTTGATCCAAACCTCCATTGCCTAGTCGTACGATTCTGCGGCTCGACGCTATACATGCTCATACGTCTCTTCGCTGGAGAATAAACCGCATACACGAAAACCATTATTATATCCGGAGCGGAAGACGGGGTGGGATACCCATGGCTCAGGACGCTCTCGCGACGACAGTTACGACCGCAGGCTACCACGCCCTATTTATCACCAGAATGTACTGTTGTCCTGTTATTCGATACCCCACAACCACGATGGCAGCTGTCGTCGGTTCCAACTGATCCTCCCTGAGAGTGTGAAGCAGCCCCAAATCCCTCACGCACCGTTGAGCGGCGGGAGTGCGCGGAATGTCACCGCCGAGTTGCCAAGTTCTTTCCGACGAGTAAGATTTCGTGTGGCGCCTCGAACACTCGTTCTCGATCTGAATCTAGTGTTCCCTTGCTTCTTGACTCGACCAGACGACCTCCGAACGGAAGAGTTCATCGCGGTTGACCAGGGACGGGAGCAAAACAACATGCTGACAAGCATCGTGGAAATGCCCTTCGATCGGCTCTTTGAGCGTACTGATTGAAGGACATTCTTCGAAAATATGAGCACGAATCGCGCCCATGTTCGGAGAAGAAACAGCAGGCGATCGCACGCCTCGAGATGATAACGGTCGGACAAAGGCATACAGATGCCGAATGCACCGTTCAGGGTACAGGAGGCCAGCTCATTCCTATATGTATAACGCACAGCAATCCAGATAGCGATAAGACATGGCGCTCAGGTTCATCTGACAGCTTTGGGCGCGATGGTATGCGAGTCGCCGTGCGAGATGAAGAGGCGGTATAAGAGCGCTCTCTTGTGCAGGAGGCTCTCTCCTCAGTTCCAACTCGTCCATCCACTACCCCCAATGGCCGCAGTCCAGCTAAACGCCATATACATCGTCTCCTTCTGGCGCCCCTATCCTCCAGGCGACCCGTTCCACTGGGGCCTGCTCGTTCGAACGAGCGCTGGACAGCCAACACTCTTCCATGCCGTGCAGAAACCAGGCTGGGTGTACGAGAAGAGAGAGAATTACAACTTCGAGAGCTCTCAGGTTGCGGTGCAGGCTGCGAAGATAGGCTCGGTGCCTAGCGGCACCACTCCAGCAGTCCTCGACGCTCACTTCCGAGGCGTCCCTGTGGGCAATTCAGCAAGTTACGCTGGCGAGGAGTGGCGCTGCAACCACTGGACGCGAGACGTAGTCCGCCTCCTTGTTGGTTTAGGTGAGCAGCTAACATCCTAGCTTGCAAGCGTTGCCTGTGCTCAGCGGCCAAGTGCAGGTTGGGTCCAAACTGCGGACGTCGACAAGATGTGGGAAGGAATCAAGGAGGAGGCCTTGAAGCTCAGAGATAAGGTTGGGAGTGGCGAGGCGAGCTGCCAGCTCATCGATGTGACCAAGTAGCCGGCTGTGAAGCAAGCCCGCTGTGAAAGAAGAGTTACAGATTTAGTCAGTCACAAGGAAACGATGTGGATACGGACTGAGCTGGGGCCATCACCACGGATCGTTGTATTTCCATAGTTCTCGTTCCACGCAGAGCTCGTTGGGTTGAGAGCCGAACACTTGATCCAGAAGCGTATGCCAAGCGGCGTAATTCTCTGGGCCGTAGTGCGCCCGAGTGTAATCCCAGTAATCGGGCATCCAGGCCGCACCCTCCCAGTCAACGATGCCTGCCAGTCGATTGCGATCATCGACCAGGATGTTGAGGGGGTGCAGATCGTTGTGTGACAGGCACAGTGGGTGCTGGGTATTGTGCACCTTCTCTGCGATGGCTTTGAGGCGAGGTTGATGCGGCAGGTGAGACTTGGAGATGAGATAAGCGTAAAAGTCCTTTTCGGTAGCGAAAGGCCCAACTGGGGAGTGGTCGACTCGCGGGCAGTAGAATGGACCTCCGTCCGGGCCGCACACGGCAGCGCTGGGCGGTATTCGCGGTATAGTGCGAACTTGATCGAAACTCGCTTTCAGATCAGAGGCGAGCGAGGCGACTTCTTCGGCGGTCATCGCGTTCAGCCGTCCTCTGAGCGGTATGCCATCGATAGCGGTCATGACGACGAACGACCCGTTCGCGGAAGGAAGGGCATCAACGAGACGGGGAACGCGGGCGTCGGTATATTGAGCGATGAGCTGCAACGCTTGGGCCTCCAAGGTGGCCGTCCTGCCCACTTTGGCGTACAGGCCGAACGGCAGACGGAAGCACTTGGGGGAGGATGTCGGTGGGTAGAGCCCAAGGCCGATGGCAACGAGTCCCTGGTATACCAGGAGTCGTATTCGACGAGGAATATAATGCCATAGAGCGAGCGCGAGGCCAGACTTTGCCGACTTGTGGTGGACCATGATAGACACGGTCGAACAGCAACGCCAGCCATCGGAGCTCACGTTTGTCGAAAGTCGTGTTCCCACGTTTTATTCAGCCAGCTTTGTCGTTGACATGTTCTCCGTGCTGGCAGCATCGGTACTACTTGGAAGCAGCTTCCACTTCGAACCGAGAAGACGGCCTTTTTCCTTTCAACTGCCCGTGCACTCACAGTCGTGTACTTACGTGCATGTATGTGCGAGCTTGGAGTTGGCAAGTGCGCCTTGAAGTCATCAAACCTACATCCTACGATTCACACAAGACCTTGGATACGTCGATATAGCTAATATACGGTAGGTGGAAGTCCACGAGCACACAGCGCCTTGCGCCTGAATCAGCGTGCGCAGAGGCGGGCTGACGACGAGCGGGAAGAAGAAAACTCCAGGGCTCCGTTCATCGTCAGCCCGCTCTGCGCCTCCTTACTTCTCGTCGGTCGTATGATGTGGATCCGGAGGCGGCATGTCCGCAAGGCTCACCCTCCTCCCTGGCGGAGCTGCGGACGCCGAGCGTTCTTGCTCCTTCCGCCAGCTACGGTAGTTATCCCACCCCAGCGCGAGCTGAAGGCTGTAATCCGCCGAGAGCGCGTCTTTTCGCGATATGGACGGCAACCCTCCCGCAGGCACTGGCCGTCGTCGTCGTGAGCTCTCACGCTGGAAAAGAAAGCAAGAAAGAAAGAAAAGGAAGGAAGGAAGGAAGGAAGGAAGGAAGGAAGGAAGGAAGGAAGGAAGGAAAAAGGAGGGCTCAGGGGAGAATTAATCACCGTTTTCGAACCACTTCATCGCGTACGCGTCCGGGTCCGCTCGATATTCCTCGGGCACCTTGTTATTCGCGATCGCGGCCCACCGATCCGACTCGGGCGTTTTGACGAGGTGGGGAGGGGTCATGCGCATCGTCGGCGAGCCGTCGGGCGTGCGTCCGGCGGTGGAGTGGCACGAGACGCAGGATGAGATGAAATTGTCGGCCGGTCCTAGAGCATCGTGCATACAGTATATATATCATGAACAAAAGGTCGGATGAAGGTTGGGGTAGGGGGGGGGGGGGGCACTGACCGTTTAGACGCCGGTTCCAGCCCCAGAAGGGGCGGGTCCCGCCGAGGGTGTTGAGGAGTTCGGAGGCGGCGGGGTTGATCCAGCTTTCGGTCGGGAAGCAGCCGGCGTCGTACGCGGCTTGCGTCATCTTCGGGTCGTTGCCTGTCAACACGGTATCAGTGTTCGCTCGGGTCATAAAGTTGGATATGGTAGTCACCCCACATGAGGCCCACGGGCATGAGCCGGTACCAGGGCTGGTTGTGCCGTCGGGTCCGGAATCAGATATAGTTCGAAACGGGAAGGCAGGCGCGATGATTTGTGGAACGTACGTCGGCGTCTGGGCGAGACCCGTCGTACATGAAGGTGCCGAACACCCAGCCGATGGGCGAACGGTCGTCTTTCAGAGCGATGTCCATCTGGATAAGCTGCACGTCCGACGTAAAGTCGTTTCTGAGGACGGGGCTCTGGTCGAACGGCGGCTGGGGGTTGTCAGAAGGCGTTGCCTGCGGCGTGATCATCTGCAGCAACGCGTAGCATCCGTTGGTCGGCCCGTCAGAGACACCCGTGGATCAGACAAGAAAAAAATAAGAATAGGACTTGCGGCTTTCCTCGTCGGCGAGCCTCGCAGCGTCGGCACTTCGTCCGCCGTCGCGGTCGTGAAGAGGATCTTGAATATCATGCTCCCGTTTGGATGACGGACACACGGAGAGCGCGAGTGAAAAAACAGCGGCGGAACATCGGGGTGCGGTGTGCGGTGTGCTGGGGTGCTGGTGGTTGGGTGGAGGAGGTGACAGGGCTGAGGAGGCCTGCTACCCCGCACGCCCCTCGTATTTATACACTACATGCCAAAGATGCTGTAGAAGCCGTCGCACGGTTGACCGCTGCGACTGCGACATCCATAGGGCGCGTGTTTGCCTCAACCGGAGAGCGCTAGTAGGAATAGATGGCATAGCGCTGGAATGAAGCTGGAGAAGCGCCTCACCTCTCCGCCTCGTTGCACCCGTGGGGCATTTCCCCGCTCATAACGATTCGAAACAGGGGATCGACCCTGGTTTGATACTGCAGAGTCCGTAGCCGCAACCGTGCGCCCTGCACGTGGACGTGAAAGGAGGATGAGTGCAAGCTGGTCGGGGCCAATACGCGCTATGTAACCGCATCAGTGGGCGCGCCGCAGTCCGGCGCAGCTCTCCCTGGGTCACTCGCAGCTCCTGAGCGCGCGTACATAATAAAAAAACATCGCGAGCGTCCCAACGCACCGCACACACTCACCGCCGCGCACAGCCTGGGCACACATGAAGTGGACGTTATGCACCCTCGGCGCGCTCGCGTTGGGCGCGAACGCTTCGCTCGCCTCCTCATCTTTCCGCGTTCAGGACGACGCAGCATCCCTGTACAACACGGCGTCGGGACAGCAGGACGAGGTGCGCGGTAAACCCATAACTTTCCTGTCCTGTCGAGCTCACACGCGGGCTATGTTTTGTTTCGCACAGTCGTCGCCGATCTCGCTCCAGAACGTGCACGACAGCTTCGTCGCGCTGAGCCACCCCCATTTCCCCAAGCACGCCGTGCGGATCAAGCAGACCGACTTTTGCGATCCCACCGTCAAGTGCGTTCTTTATCGTCCCTCTCCCATTCCGACCTCCACATATGCGCCACGAGTCAATCGAAATAGGGGCTAATCCGAACAAAAAAAAACCTCTTGACAGTGTATACTCGGGCTACGTCGACATCACGGGCGCGAAGCACCTGTTCTTCGTATACTTTGAGAGCCGGCGCGACCCCGCGAACGACGATGTCGTGCTCTGGCTGAACGGAGGTGAGCGTCCGTTCCGCGCGGTGTGGCGATAGCGAGCTCATTGGAATGGGAACACAACCGACAGGACCGGGCGGTTCAGGAACGCTCGGCATGCTGATGGAACTCGGTCAGAGAGATCAACGTTCCGCCAATAGGTATTACCACCTCCGTGGCTAACGCCGTCCGATCCCACAGGACCGTGCACGGTCGCGTCCGCCAACTCGACCAAACTCAACCCATATTCGTGGAACAACGAGGTGTGAGATCGGGCCACGGGGACACCTTGCCGAGCCTCGGGCTGAAAGCAGATGCCGTTTCTCTAGGCTAACCTGCTCTTCGTCGAACAACCCGTCGGCGTGGGCTACTCCTACGCGGAATACGGCGAAACGGTGGTACGTGCGTCCTCCGCCCCGTCTTTTCTCCATCTCCACCATCACCACCTCCCTCCTCCTCTCTTCACTGCAGACCCCCCCGACTGACTTATTACCCACAGTACACCACCGCGGACGCCGCGAAGGATATCGCGGCCTTCCTCGCCATCCTCGCCAACGGCTTCTCCGAGTTCGGCGCCAAGCCGTTCCACATCGCGGGCGAGTCGTACGGGGTAGCCTATCTTGTTCACTTACGACCTCGCAACCTCGCGATGGCTGACTGTTTATTTTTTTCGACGTGGCGTTTTCGCGTGTAGGGCCGCTACGTCCCGTGGTTCGCGGCGGAGCTGTTCGACCTCAACGCCGAGCTGACCGCGCGCAACCTGACCGCGGTCAACCTCCAGTCGATCCTCATCGGTCCGTCCGTTTTTGTCCCCCTCCCCACCCTCTCTCTCAGATCAGAAGAGTCGACTGACCGCGCGTACAGGTGACGGGGATAGCGACGAGCTCTCGTAAGTCGCCCCCGTTCCGCGTTTGAGTGCGAAACACCGCCGCCCGTGGTCTGATGCCGTGCCCGACGACAGGAACATACTCGCGGCGGTTGACATGCAGTGCACGGACGCGTCGGGCCTCCCGCCCGTCCAACCCATCAAGTATGCCCTTTTGCCGAATACCGATCCACCGCCGCACATCTCGCTGACACGCCCGTGTTCGAATCCAGGACCTGCATCCGCATGAAACAGGTGGTGCGTCAATCAGCCCCCCCAACCCCCAACCTCCTCGTTGACTGCGGTCGAAGCCGGCTGATCGTATCTCTTCGTCCTACTACAGGCCCCGCGCTGCAAAAAGTGGTACACCGAGTCTTGCAAAGACTCTCTCGACGTCATCAACTGCGGCGCCGCGATTTCGTTCTGCGACGAGGAGCTCACCGCGCCCTTCCTATCGGGCGGTACGTGCAAACACCCTCCTATTCCACCCATCCCGCGCCGTTTTCCCTCTCCATCCAGCGCTGACCCTCCCGTGCCCGCCCAGGCATGAACCCGTACGATCTGAGCAAGAAGTGCACGGTGGAAGAGCTCATGGACAATCTCTGCTACCCCATCTCCAAGTAAATGCCTTCTCCGTCTTCCTATCTCTCTTTCCCTCTAGATGCTAACCTGCGGCGCAGGAATATCACCGCCCTGCTGAACCAGCCCTGGGTGCGCGCGGAGCTCGGCGTCGACCCGATCTTCGATGAGCAGAACATAACGTATACGCCCGTGTCCTGGACGGTGAACCAGGGCTTCGCGGCTCGGCACGACCATATGTACACGACGGAGGGGCACATCGCCGCGCTGCTCGAGCGCGGGATCAAGGTGCGCGTTCCTATCTAACCCACCTCTCTCTCCCTCCACCACCACCTCCTCTTTTTTTCAAAAAAAAAAAGGAAGGACGTGAGTTACTGAGCGGATGGACGATAAGGTGCTCATCTACGTCGGCGAGTACGACGTGCTCTGCAACTGGCTCGGCAACCTCCACATGGCGCTCAACCTGGAGTGGACGGGCGCGGAGGGCTTCGAGGCGGCGGCGTTCCGGGGGTGGGAGGTCGAGGAGGGCGGAGGGCAGGTGGGTAAAGTCCGCGCGTCGGGAGGGCTGACGTTCGCGACCGTCGCGGGCGCGGGACACATGGTGAGCGAGTCTGCCTAACCCACAACCCCTTTTTGCTGCTCAGGACGCACGGGACTGAAAACGGGGGTCGTTTCGCGCGCAGGTGCCGTACGATAAGCCGAAGGAGGCGCTGGCGATGTTCAATCGGTGGCTGGAAGGCAGACCGCTCTGAGAGCGCCCGCCTGGACAGGAACCGAACATATGACGGTAAGCACGCGGCTGGAGGAAAAAGGCGCAAGGCTGTGGCTTGGTGACGGGTGTGGTCGGTACTGGATACATGTGATGCTACATGTAAGAGGGATACGTCTACAATAAAATGTGCGTCGCTATGGTATGGTGGTACACTTGCGAGGTGCGGGGGGCGAACGAAAGCGATAAATAGTAATAAGTAAGTTGGGTCTTGCCAAGGGGGACCAAGGGGGGACCGAGTGAGTTGGGTGAAGGTGGGTGGAGGGCTGGTTAGGCATAGTCTGTGGGACCCGTTGTGGGCAGGCTCTGGGACGGAGTCCATCTGGGAGTGTCGTCAGACGTGCGCGGTCGCAGACTCGGGGAGGCGTCCAAACTCACGGAGACCCTCATGATCATGCGATCACGCACGAGCCCGTCGAGCCCTTCTTGTCGTACTCGATGGGCAGCTCGTCCTCCTCCGTCGCAGAGAAGGGGGTGGTGGCGTTCGCAGCCGGGAGGGTGGAGACCGAGGGGAGGGTGAAGTACGTGAAGGCGTCCATCGCGACGGCGGGATGATCGATACGCGCGGAGGGCGTTAGCTGGCGATTGAGTGGGCAGCTGTACGAACGAGAGCTCGTGGGTCCATCCGGCACGAAAGGGCGACCGCTTTTATACGACCGGGCGCGCAGTTGAAAGATGTAGATGTCTGAGAAAGCAACGCGGTGGACGATCGTGTTTATCGGGGGAGACAAAAGTAAAGGTGCACTGTGAGTGCCTGGGTGCGCTATTGTCTTCGGAACAGGCTGCAGAGAGACGTTATTATTGCGCCGTTGCGAGCCACGCTGACTTCTGGCGTGGACAAAAGAACGCGGTCGATCTTGCTGTCGTGCACTGGTCGGTGCCTGCCCGCGCTCGACGCAGAGACAAAAGACTCGAGGCCATCTCGGTCGCGGCGTCACCAACGCCGGTGTCGGAATTATCGTTCTTGCTCGATCTTGATTTCATGGCTGATCTGGTGGAGGTAGAGGGTGATATGGGCGTGATACAGTGAAAGAAAGCGAAGGGCGGCACCGGCATAGGGCGTCGTCGGAAGAGAGGAAAGAAGCGAGAACGTTGCGAAAAAGCAAAACCGATTGCATTAAGGGGGAATCGAACCCCCGGCGGGTCGAATTCGTCCATCAAACGGATTCGCTGGCAACGACCCAGGTTACCACTACCCCATTAATGCTTGTAGTTCCAAGTGTTGACGTGGCTCATATTCCAGGGCACTGCAAGTCCTAACGACACATCAAGCAACAGCCCCTCGGATTCTGTTTACTCACCGCCATCCTCGTCTCTTACTTACGCACCACTGGATCACCTCCTCCCTTCGCCCCACGTCTAAGCTCGCTACTATCACTGACCCAGAGTTCCTATCGGACCCCCAGTTCCTATTCCTACTTTTTCGTCTCTCCACCCCGCTACACCGTACATCAAATACTGAAAAAATGCCCGGATGATTGCCTTTAGTGTGCTCTATTGGGGCATACCAATATTATCTGGTGAAAATGCTGTAGATGGCCTCCGCACTCGGAAGGACCCAGAAATCCTATTTTCACACGCTACCCCATCTGGCAGAGGATATCATCAATGCACGTATTTCCGCTTGCAAGGCTATCATACCGCAAGATGAGATACATTTTTTTCCACGTCTGTCCATAAAATAAGCCAATGCGTTGAGTAGTGGTTGTGCAACAAGGCCAACACTCAGGAGGTCCGTGATGTTTGTCTGTCACTTGCCCCTGTCTCTTCGCTGTATCGACTACCGTTTATGGTAGGGCTGTGTAGTGGATGACTGTCCGTAAGGATTTAGAACAGTCGCGACGTTTCTAAATCGCATCAGCCGAGGTGCCGAGATCAGATCTCTGAAGTTTAAGCTCCGCCGGTGCCAGGAGCATGCTCGTAAACGCTTTGATCTACGAAGGGGTCGCGACCCCCTCGTAAACGCGAGAGCGCGTCTAAATCAACGAGATTTCGAAGTCCGCTCCCATAAATGGCAGCTCTGTCCCGAGATAACGGGGCTCAGCGAGACGCGCTTTCGGCAGCTCCAAGCCTCCGAAATCAAGGTACACGAGCTTACGGATGTCGCAATCTGTTCTAAATCGTCATTCTAGATAAAACTGATATTCCGGCGGTGCATTTAGAAACACGCGACTGTTCTAAATCCTTACGGAAAGTCATCCAGTGACGCGACCGTGTCACCGATAGGAACTCTGGGTCCTCCGACCTCTTCATCGAGGAAAATATTCACTGTCCCTTCGATATAGTCGTTAAAAATAAGGTAACTACATGAGCATGTAGCGCAGGTCATTTCACACTAGGGCATATGCAGAAGCAGAGGGAATAGAACCACCAGATATGAATCCCACGCAAAATAGTGTTTCCGATAGGAACTCTGGGTCAGTGATAGTATATGTACTTACAGCGCAATCCAGGACCAAGACAACGGGTCTCGCTTAAGGTGGCGTGACCGCGGCAATTGCGCGGGTACGAACCGTAAGTAGTCCGTGTTCTTTCTCAGAGATCGCCGTTTACTGTTTTCGAACCGCGCGCTGGTCTTGGACTGTTCCTCCGGTGAGCAGCGATCTCCGACATGCCGATTGTGCATATCGATCGTGTGGAGTGCGAGGCCAGTATGAAGAGGTGCTGATAGGGCGTCTACTCGAAGGAATCGAAGCGCGAGCGAAAGTCGGACAAATTCCTGAGCCTTGCTGACACCCTCTCGAAGTGAAATCGTCGGCTTTCGAACCTGCGGAAGGAACTTGGAGGCTCTGTGGTCTCTAGACTCATGCCAAACTCTTTTTCCCTTCTAACGAGCGGCTGCGATGTGCACCGGCAGCGGTGGCTAAACATACATGTACTCTAACAAATGGTGGAACCAGGCTGCCACCGGGTCACCGGCAGTATCGGGTTCCCGGTCTTTGATCACTCATCGAACACCACGAACGCAGCGACAGCCTCGGAAGCCCGGCAGCGGACCTACAAGGAACCCACATATGAACTGGCCGCCAGTCAGGTACAAGTGGGACCAGGTACTGTGCTCGTTACGATCCTCCCCTCCGCATGTAGACGGGTCTCTCGAGACTGTGCGGTGAGAATGCGTCACCGAGCGTCGCCTCCCTGCCTGTGTTCGGACCTTGGAGGACTCGTGCGCCGCCGCGACGTCAATACGTAATGCGGCTATCGGTTTCCCCTCATCGATGAGGTTCGCGAGCGAACCCCCGTGAGAGCTTCTTCACTTGGCCGCTGCTTCCTCGACTCTCTTCTTGCGCCTCATATACCGGCCTGGACGAAATCTGGAGCGCCGCCCCGCTTCAATTTTCCTCTCGCACCGGCGGCGCCAACTTGTACAAGGCATGGGCCAGTTCGACTCGTCACTTGGGTACGTCTATTTCCCTACCTCCACATCCATTAACTGATATAACGTGAATACAGGGCGATCCTCATAGGGACATGGGTCGACTGCATGCTGTATATGTGGGAGATTGCACAGGTACTAGATTCTCAACTCGTAGCCTCGTCAGCATACGCTGACGGGACTGCTCGATGTGGTTTGCAGATTTACCACTGTTTTAAGCACTTTCCGCATGATCGTCGCTCTTTGAAAGCTACCATTTGGTTGCTATTTCTTGTGGATACGGTCGGTACAGCGGCAGGCAACGGAACAGCGTATCTGGTATGCATGTCCGTCCATTGCTACCGCCTTCCCGGCTCACCTCTCGTCTGTGTTTACGACGATAGTACATGATAACATACTGGGGTTTGTCTCCCGCTCCTCTGGCTAGCAGTATGTACTGACGCTGCTAACAGGAGACATGCCGGCGATATCTAAACAGTACTGGACGTTTCCTACATATTGCCTTGCAACTGCGTGCTCCGCCATCATTGTTCAGTTCTTTCTTCTGTACAGGTTCTGGAACCTGTATGTCCCGAGTCCTTACATTTCCCGCGTTATATGTGACGTATTTCCATCGGATATAGCTCTCGGAATCACTTCATAACCGGCTTCATGTCTCTCCTCGGTATTACTGCAGTGAGAAGTCGGGCAGGACGATGTGTTTGTGAGCGGCTGGGCTGATCAAGATTTCCTACAGTTGGTAGGAGCCATTTACACGTCCTTCACGTTGGTGAAAGAGCCAAACCTCAGTCAACGAGCTCGCGTTGTCACGCCGGTGACGTATGTATCTAACGTCTTTTCCCCTGATCAAAGAGCTGACAGTGAAGATTATCACCCTTCTCGCATCCCTGCAGCATATGGTTTGGTAACTAATTTGAATTCAAACTGATAATTCTAGGATACTGACCCTTTCTAACAGCTTCGTCCGCAGCTTGTGATGTCTTAATTGCCGTCAGTCTTGTTTGGCAATTCCAACGAGTCAGGTCGCCATCGAGATCGACGAAAACGTTGGTCTACATGTTCTTGGTCCACCTTCCCTTGCTCATGCCATACACTCTAGAATGCTTTCAAAGCTCACCGGCATGGCAATCCGCACTGGTTCCATCACAAGCCTGTTCGCGCTCCTCGTCCTCGGCACCTTCCTCCATGACCCGCAGGGCAGCAGTGCGTCGCGTTGACACTCCCTTCGTTAATGCCACCGCTCATGAGCGTTTAGTCGCGGTCGGGATCAACTCGTGCCTCGGTCGTATATACGCTCTTACGATGATGTACAATCTCAACACTCGCACCAAGATTCGTCTTGCTGCCGTCAGTAGGAACACTGCGAACCACGGCCCGACTGTCACCGCCGGGGTTACTGGGCTAGGTTTCAGCCAATTCCGTGAGTCGTTGATGACCTTCTTCTCCGTCCCGATGGGGTTGACGACGAGCTGTGTTCAGGTGTGGATACGGAGGTTGTCACCGATTACGAGCCTGCGCCGACGACGGACCAATACCAGCTCGACCAGGTATGTCGTCGTGTAAAGCTTCGGGTGTTCATCGCGGACATTCCTCACATGTTCCCCAGACTACGCTCGGCGAGGATGACGTCCCCGCTGACAAACCAGACAAGGTGGTGTAGCGCATACCATGAAGTACGACTACAACGAGGTGTATGTTATACGCTATCGATTGAATACTATCACTGGACTCTCACAGGTAATTTTGTTGATGCCAATGAGATTGAGCGGACTTGTGTTTTTTGGGAGCGGATCTACTTGTTGGGTAGGAGGGAGCACCTGTGATCCAACGTTCGCCGCCCGTAGTCGTCACGGCCGTCCAACTATGCTGAGTGGCGAATGCGTCCACGGCCACACAGCATCGTAACTGGAAGGGGAAGCATAATAAGGGTATCCCCTCAACAAGCTCTTCGTTTCCATGGCTGTTAATCCTGACGCAAACGAGTCGTCGGGGAACTCTTCAATCCGGTGCATCACACACGTTCACTGCCTCGAGTCTTCGTTCCATCTACCTCAGCTTGAAATGATAAGATTCACGACCTCATTGGCCGGCACCGCGTCGAAAGCATCTATTGCTCTCGACGATGATACCTCCTGAGCAGTGAGAGCCCCAACTCTGCGTCTACTATCCATGTACCATCAATGTCTTTCGCACCATCAATGTCCGTCACCAAAGATGAGGTTGCTCAGCGATGCCCATTCGTTGTTATGGCTTGAAAATAAACATACATTATTTGGCCTATTATATCATGGTATGGGTAAAAACAATAACAAGCTGAGTACCTACAAACGCGAGCATAAAGTCGACAAGGTCGTCGAAAGCATGTATCAAGTTGGTTCTCTCGCGAAGATATCCTTCGGCTCGATGGATCGTTACATTATAAAGTCCTACTATATGCTCTTTATTTTTACACTTCCCTATTCATACCCATAAAAAAAGGGAGCGTCTCGCAGGGCAATCTTTGGGTGAGGATGGAGAGCAAGACATCTGAGTTCGAGCTCCGCCCAAAATAATGACAAAGCAGAATTTGGCGGGGCCTGCCGCGAGCCAGTCGGCTCGGCATCACGGCATGAGACGACTCGGCATGGGAATAAAGACTTTTGGCAGGACAGAATGCCGGCATCGTTCTGGCAGACCAACTTTCCCAAGAATTGAGAGGAATTGTCGCAGGTCAGAGGGCAGGGCACCATCAATGTCCTCAAAACGACATTGATGGTAAGTACATCGACAGTAATCCTGGGTTCACCACAGGTCGTGTACACACTGTACTTTTACGACCGTAAGTTCGTCCCGCGTCCCCGGGGCACCCGAACCGAACTTATTGTCCCCTGTCCCCCTGGCACTCCGAACCTCCGGGACACATTATATTTGACCGTGAGAGTCTTAAATCTGACCGTGTGATCAAGAAAATTTGACCTCGTAAGCACGTGTCCCCCGGGCAGGCTGCGGATGAACTTCCCACGGCCGCGAACTTGGGTCATGTCCCCTGTCCCCCTCCGACCTGGCCGAACTTACGGTCGTAAAAGTACAGTAATCCGAGACCAAATGGTGAGACGCCCTATCAAAACCAAACGGAGTTTAGAGTGGACGGCACGCAACCATCCGCGCCACCGCGTCTCGCGTGGCTTAAACGCCGCTGTCAGGTTCTTCTTTCGCGCGCCATTTCGCGTAGCTTGACGGTTCTGGCCATCGCTAGCGTATTAGCTATGCTGTCAAGGCATCTGACGCTGGCCACGAGAGCTTCTTTTCACTAGCAATCAGTGTCCAGGATCACCTCTCGCGTAATCGGAGCTTCCCGATCATCACAGCTCAGTTCTCATTCCTCGAGACGCAGGTCAACCGACTTCAGAAGGGCTGAGCGTTGAGTCCGCAGGAACTATAGGCACGCCTTCCGGCTCCGTCCAGAATGGTACGGCGACCGAAGAGATCCGGTGCTCGCCACGACTCGAATGTCAACGGCATATGTAAGATGCGTGCCTCCGGTGGTACTTACCCTATCCGGTCGGTCCCGCAGCGTACCAAACACTCCAAATACGTATGCAACAACGGCAATCACTCGAAACGAGCGCCAATGAGGGTTCGTCCGCGCACTGTTCGCCGTCCGTCCTGTCGCGCTTCTCGGTTGCTTTCATTTCGGTTTTGCCTCTGCCACGTACGTAGATCTCCCACTTGCATATAAGTATACCGGTCCTGATGCCCCTGGAGGCGGGCTGCCTCCCTTTGCTTTTCCTCTCGTAATTTACCTTCCTGTCGTTAACGCGAATACCTCTCGAAGAGTCATGGGCCAATTTGACGCATCCCTTGGGTACGTCCTTCAAGCTTCATGTTCATCCAAACCCGGTTGCCCTCCTCTGTCATCGAGCCGTCTACTAATCTTTCATCTGTACAACACAGCGCGATTCTGATCGGAACATGGGTCGACTGCATGCTGTACATGTGGGAGATCACGCAGGTCAGTGCGAGCAGTACTCTTTCCTGCCATCCGCTAACACCGTGCGGTCATAGATGTACACGTGCTTCAATGCTTTCCCGAACGACCACCCCTTCCTACGAGCGACGCTCTGGCTGCTGCTCCTCGTGGACACCGTGGGCGCGGCCGCGGGGTGCGGCACGGCATACCTTGTACGTCTCCGTCGACTGTTCGCTCGCATACAGGGACGCTCACGGCGATGACAGTATACAATAACTTACTGGGGTACGTCCTCGTCGCATCAACGCGACGCGCACACGCGCTCATCGACGGTTGCTCAGGAAACCCGGAGGCGATCTCGAGGCAGTACTGGACATTCCCGATGTACTGCACAGCGACTGCCTGCTCCGCGTTCATTGTCCAACTCTTCCTCCTGCTCCGTTTCTGGAACCTGTAAGTCGTACTCTCTGAGTCGCGGGCCCTCGGGAGATTGACGTCTGTTTCCAGCTCACGCAACCACGTTCTCACCTGCGTCTTGTTCGCCATGAGCCTAACCGCTGTGAGATTCTGCTTCGCGCGCTGCGCTCGACGACATGTCTGATCATATGTCAATGTATACTAGCTGATTGGAGGCATCTACACCTCTGTGATTCTGGGAATAGCGCCCCTCCTCAGTCAACGTGGACGGGTCGTTACTCCAGTGACGTACGTACCGCATCGACTCCACCTCAAACCCGTCCTCACCCTGCGCCTCTTCCATTGTGCAGCATATGGTTTGGTACGTGACGCATGATTCACCACTGGGATCCATTCGATATTGATTCCATCGCGATGCCAGTCTCGTCTACGGCGTGTGACGTCTCCATCACCCTCAACCTCGTTTGGCAATTCCGAAGAGTCCGCACGTCGTTCAAGACAACGCAAACGTCAGTACTCGCGCGCACCTCGATATTTCACTCCGCTCCATGCTCATACCTACCACATCGCAGCATGCTCTCCCGGCTCACGAGTATGGCGATCCGCACCGGCTGCGTCACGAGCTTCTTCGCGCTCCTCATCCTCTCCTTCTTCCTCCAGAATCCACAGGGCAGTAGTAAGTCGCGCTTCTCTCGTCCAAGCTTACTTGGTAATGAATACTCTGGCCCAGTCGCCGTCGGTCTCAACTCGTGCTTCGGTCGTATCTACGCGCTCACTATGCTGTACAACCTCAATACGCGCGCCTCGATCCGACAGGCGGGAAGCAGCGGGGGCGACGGTATTAGCGCCGGTGCAGGTCAGAACGTCACCAGCGGTAACGCGGCGATCGATCTCGGCCAGATCCGTGAGTCTCATCACCACTCCCTTAACCCGATCTTCTTCACTGTGATGGAGGGAGCCGACATTGTTACCTTGCATAGGCGTGGACACGCAGGTTGTTTCGGACTGTGGTCGTTCGCGGAGGTCGGAGAGCACCTACGACGAGGTACGATGTCGTATCAATGCCTACAAGTGGCGTTCTCAGATTCTGTATAGCCCATGAAGTCCGTGTAGGGAATCTGCTGAACTGAGTCAAGTCCATTAGTGCGCCATCTTCGAGCCACCGTTCCATTCTTCGTCTCTAATTACACAACGCAGGACTCACAGAGATGACGAGAAAGTAACATACACCTAGCATCGTGTTCGTTGCCTATAATGAGAATCTTCGGATGTGGCGTACGAGCGTCGGAAATCCCGATGGTCGCCTCGTTGTTCAACAGGAGTGGTCGGCCTCGAAATGTTCTGCAGCATGGAGGCTTTGATAAGCAAGTGTGTGAAGAACCCAGCACACTGAAATAGACAATCACTGATGACTGCAAGCTCCGGGAGAGTCACAGTGGCTCATTCTTACACATGCCCGTCGGGGTATGGCCTAGCATACAACGTATAATGAAGGATTGTTGTTCTGACGCGTATTCTACACTTCGTCACAAATTTGATCGCATCTTCCAAGATTCTGCTAGTGAAACAACCCCAGGCGAGCAGCCTTCATATTATATATTCTGCGATCAAGCCTACATCACGAAGATAACGAAACGTGTTCAAGGTCTGCATGAACTGGGACTTCAGGTCTCTCTAAAGTACGGCTGGGGACTGTACGATAGACAAAATATCAAGAAAAATGGGGCCAGTAGTTTGACCAGGATGGCAATTCATAGGCGGCGGGTTCTAGAAATAAGAGCTGGCGCAAGCTCTCGACAAGGAGGTAGCCAGACATCGCTATGTACGGCACAGCGGCACAAGCCACCAGTCGCGTTTCCCCTCGACGTTCCCCGGTGAAGTTTCCCAAAGCCAAGCGAACAGCGACAATGGTGGCAACAGTGAGTGCCATAGCCGTTCCCCACGACGAGATCACGACCGTAGAGATTCGCCACAACACCCGCTCTGTCGCGGTAGGAAACTGAGCGTTCCATCCGAGGAAGTGGGGCACGCCGTACGTCAAAGCTAACACTACCGCGGATACGTTGGACCGGATAATCCCTGGAAGGCCGTGGCCCTTGAAGTCTGTCGATGACTGCAACGTAGAGTATGGCATGACATATGGCTTGTCGGGTACCGGGGGAGCTACGAGGCCATAGCGCCTCATCGCCGCCGACGCAAGCATCCACCTTTGTATGTCTTCAGAATCAAGGGTGACGGGGTTGTCCATTCTATCATTTCGAATATACCAGGGTAGGGGTTGTGATCCATACAGAATCCTGCTCTTGAGTTTGAAGAAGTCGGGCCTCTTCATTATTTCGCGCTTCGGAGTGAAGTTCGCGCCTCCGAGGAACGATGTCTCCGGAAGAAGCGACACAGGCAACAACTTCGGACGCCAGCGTGTATCCCGAGAGTTGACCTTCACTGGCTGTGGAAAGACGAAATGCGGAACGGGAGCGGAAGCTGAAGGTGATGAGCTATTGGGGTGCTCGGACCTCACATCTTGTGATTCTTCAGAATATTTCACGAAGTGCATCTCGGCGGGAAACTTGATGCAAGCTACTCCGTACAGCATGTGGTACTCCTCGACGCTGCACATCATCATGAGTGCACACGCTTCCATCGCCCTCGAGCCTCTGATGAGAGTTGGTTCCGATACATTCAAAGGCTTTGACCACCACAGCAGGTATGTGATGAGAGTGCATAGCCCGTGTGCGACTGTTGAGACTTCGAGAAGACTAAGTGGGAGATGCTGAACGATTCTGGACAGACAGTTCGCGCAGAACCATGCCACCTGCGCTATAAGAAGTGCCTTGCTCAAGCTGCTCGCTTTGGTTCGATCGGTGATGGAAATTTCCGACAAGTCCGGAATGAGATCGGGATCGTGCTGCATCATGAAGCAGACACCCTGCGGTGTGAGGGCCATTCGAGTTCGCCCTGCCGGAAGGATCGATCGTTCGTCGCTAGGTTCAAGGCTGAAGTCGAACACGTAGCCTCCCATAGAAGCATAGAAGGCGTGAACCATGGTGAATGCATGTTGGCGACGATTGCGAGTACCATTAGAGAAGTGAGTGTGAGGGAGGAGATTGAGTTCTTCCTACGTAATGATTTGTTATGTCGGGGACAAAAGCCTGCAAGACAAATCTGCGTACCTGCTGCACGTCTACGATCTCCTTGTCGGATATCGAATGATATTTGGGGTCTGTGCGAGAGACGTGAGGTAGTAGGCGGCTCGCATGGTCCAGTACCGATAACGCGTTGGACCTCTGATTGAAGGCGATGAACAGAAGTAGTTCAGGGCAGAACAGCGCGGCGGCCATCCAAAGGAAACTGACAACGAAAGATCGAAAAATTGAGGGTCGATGTGTAGGTATGTCCATGTGGACAGCACTCCAGACACTGATCAAGAGCGTGCTGAAGCACAACGAAAGTATACCGAAGGTCCCGCGGAAGTCGGGTTCGGAAACCCACAGAATTGGCTCTTCTCGCTTGGGAAGTGTATGCATAGCAGCGTCGAGCATCTGTGGCAAGCTGAACATCATGAAGCGGTGACAGACTCCAGCACGCACCGCATCAATCAAGGAGTCGACGAGTAAACAGGCCCCTGATGTAGCACGTTCAGGGCAGGGCGTAGCTGCTTTATACTGCTGGCGAGTGATGTCAGTGAAATGAAAGCAGCATGAATGCACCGTGCGCGTAGCCCAGGTGTATCAAGCATGTTGTAGAGCTATTGCATCGCGAAGCATATCGGACCGATACATTAATGTCATGGGTTATTCTTGTGAAGACACGATGTGCTTGCTTCCCGTGGAGGCAACACGAGGTTGCAGCGTTGGTCCTCATTCAACGTCTAGTTCGTGACATCCTTTTACAGCAGTGAAACCCACACGGCTGGACGAGCCTATATAGAAGCAATGATCTCAATATGATTGAACTTAAATTTGCTTACATGCAGGGGCGCATCACAAGGGCATTGCAACAGTCTAGAATCTAGGAAAGTTCGCGAGGTCACTCTGTCAGTTACATAGAGCCAAATAGCGATGATTCTTCGACGGAAACGACGTACAGAACTATGTGGGAACATGATGTTGTGGGGAGTGGTAAGCCCGTGTTTTCCCTGCGCGACATTGGTAACTCAATGGTATTCCTTGCCGGTAAAGCTGATCTAAACGTTACTACATACTCATAATTTCGCCAACATTATCCGTTGCCGCATTCGGTACCATTCAACCACCAGTAGCATCTATGAACTGGCAGTCCGCTTCGTGGTTTGCGACCTGATCCCTGATATCAATGGCCCGAGCTCTTATGCGCTGCCATTGCCCATCGACGTCCTCCGAGCTCGCCCAACCTACACCGTCTGGTTGAGATTGTGAATGCAGGAGATGATGCAGAACCGACCTAAATCAGACAGAGAGCGCATCGCATCGCGTGTCCAATGGTTGCATCGCCATTCGACGTCAGGGTAGTTTACGGAGTGCCCGATTGGAATACGTTGAAAAAAATTCTGCAGTGCAGCCTTCGTGGTACTCTCCGGCACGTCTCCGACTTTTGCCATCTGCACTGCAACCCTGGGGCCACGGGTGTCGAAGCCTTCTTCCATGTGAAATACCCAGCTCGGTTGCTGCCTAGCGTGGAACAAGATCGGTTTCGCATCGTTTGGTTGGATGACTATGCCCCAATGAAAAGGATCACCGGGAGGATATGGACGCCAGAAGGAGGCTATGTATATGGCGTTTGGCTGGATGGAGGCCATCGCAGAGTCTGGTTCGTGGCAACGCTGCTATCGCCCCAGCTTCGTCTCGCTCTTACTTTCCCACGCTTACCCCACCCCCCAACTAATATTAACGCTATCAAGGCGAAGTAACGCGCCCGGTGCGATGCTTCCGCAGGTATCTCGCCATATCCGTCGCAACCCACCGTATAGCCACCACAAGGATGATCGTGTCGGACCATTCCTTGGCCATCGAACGCCTGCGCTGGGCGGAAAGGTACCACCCGAAAGTCCCCAGGGAATGGCGGCTCTGCCGATTCTGCGAGGCAGCTATCGAGGATCCGGGTCACATACTGCACTGTGGTGCTTCCCCCGAACTCTGCGATCTACGGACCTCGTTCCTCGCTACAGTATGCACGATCCGCCCGTCCCTGAACGCCATGCTTCGCGAGCCTGGCGACTTCCTCATGTGGGCGACCGCTGACCAGGCGTGCGTGGATTACGTCGGTCAGTTCTTGCGTAACGCTCTGCGTATATTCGATGCCGCTCCACCCTTTTACCCTGCGCATATCACGCACCCGCTCCCGTCTCCCCCCACGGTTGGGACCTTACACGGCGGCGTCGAGGTTGGGGAGGGCGAGGACTCGAGCGACGATGAGGTTGACCCTATTGCCGAAGCGGAGGAATAACTATTACACCCCGCTACGCTCTGATTTTTCACTCTGCATCGGCAGACCCACTGTATTCACATCCGTATACGGCCACAATGGACGATCTCTTGACCTGTCCGTCGCCTCGTTACTGCACCGGCTCTCGTGAAACCACACAGAGTAGGCCAGCTACGCTGTACTTCCAGCCTACAAACATATTTACACAGTGCATTGGATACGCCTTACCTTGCCCATTGCGCTTGACTGCAGTTGTAGATCCGTGTTTCCTTTGATGATGCTTTTCCCCCCACCCCGCTTTTTTCCCAAGCGGTTTTGCGGGGTGGTCGGGGTTTTTAATGCACTGACGAGGAACCGGACTTCCACCAGTCAGCTGAAGACGGCTTGCCTAGTTTACATTACATAGCACTGTATGTACACATGTACCTAGGACTTTTTTGGTGCCGGTGGTGAGACGGTGCGGTCGGCTTCATCAGCTCACGAAAACCGTCGAGCTGCTTGGCACGCTGCCGACTGCACGAGTGGCGTACGTGCAGCGCAGCAACCGGCTGTTCCGCTACCGGGACCTCGTCGGCAATCTACCTACCTACCTACCTACCGTATTCCGTTCATTATTGCTCTTTGGGATAGTCAAGATAGTATATCTTCTACAACTAGATGAGCTGGGTTCTACCAACGAATATCTGTCAATGCAATGAGTCCCTGACGCACGACCCATTGCCCTAATGCAAGTAGCTTCGCGCAGTCTTCCGAGCGGTAGGCGCGTTGCTCGTAGGCGAGGCCGCGGAGCGACATGTCGCTCTTGATTCGAGTCTCATGTACGCGTACGGCGCAGCGTCAAAGACAGGACCACCATTACCAATCGCGTGTCTCGAGCTCATTTGCGGTGGGGGCTGAGCGCGTTTTTGAAGCACTATGAAGCTCTTCCCAGGGACGCTACTTTGGAAGTACTTGAAGGGAAAATCCGGGACGTTTGCTGAGCTATGGCTTGTCCTCAAGATCCTTCGGAGATTGTACGCCGGTGATGTCCATCACTACGGGTTGCATCTCGTGTTCATCCACATCTACCGAGATCGATTGGCGGCGTCTCGCGGCGAAACTTATCCTCGAAGATCGCGGTACGAGGGTGGAGGATCCCACGGAACCGGAGGAGGGGTCTCTGTATACCCGATGAACCACGAGAAGCAGCAAGCTGGGATACATGGGCTGTTAATCGAGCTCGATGAATGTTATCGGGAGATGAGAGCGGCGATACTTACGGTGAACTGGGGCAAGCAGCTAGTCACAACTTCGTAAGCAGTGGAGCCCGTCACGAATAAAACGAGTGTTACGATCTATCAATACCGCATATACATCAGCGCTTGCGCGGAACTCGGTGTGATCATATCCGTGGCTTACCCACGTTGCGCTATAGAGGGCACCCGTTTCCACCAGTAGAAGAAGTATTCGAGAGCTCGTCGTGTGGATGTTCACTGCTCCAGTGAGTCGCGAGAGTGACCTGCGTTGTTGATTAGTAGACGCAAAGTAAAGACGAAATTGTAGGCGTACCAGGCTCGGATGCCGATGAGGATAGTACAACACAAATTCGTGGCAAGAGTGAGCACGCCAAAAGCCGTTCCCCATCTCCCAACCTCGACGTCCACAGCGGAGACGCCAGTAGGAGTGATTGACTGTTGATGCGCGCCTCCGAACACGGCAACTGAATGTGAGAGCGCTCATGAAATATCCAACAATGCACCGAGGATGATACTAATCTCACCTATTGACCCAGCGAGCAGCAAAGATGGCAGAACGCACATTCGCCAATTACATCCCCACACCCCCCATACTCTCCATATAACGACGGAATCTCCGATGAGATACTAAGTGGCGTTTTACGCATACATTATGAGCGGCAAACCGACGGATGGGACTACTCGGGCTTACATTCGCGCCTTCGATGTATATCTGGGCAGCATTCACCGGTAAGCCTGGGTCATCTGCGTTGGGTGTTCGCGCAATCGCTTCGAGTAGTTGAAAGAACGTGATGGCAAGATGGCTGGCAGCGATCCCGTACATTACGAAGGCAACGACTGCCATGATCTTGCTTGCTCGCGTTTTCTTCTTAATTCTTGAGTGGAGAGGTAAGCAGAGACCCCGTCGAAACGGAGCGGTTGCGCACAGAATGTTGATCGTCAACACTAATAAAATAATATAAACACCTATCGATGCAATTTAACTTGACTTCATGTGACAATGCTGCTAAGTGCCTTTGCCCAATGAATACCACTAATAGTCGTACACGCTCTTGTAGTAAATCACGGCTATTTAGTGGTGAACTACCAGTGGCCTAGTGCGAGCGGGCTGTTCAGCAGTACCGCACGTCCTCGGAGGTTCGGGGATGTGAATATGCTTCTTTGATGGGATCAATAAGACGGTATGGGCGTACAGGTCGCTACCAGCCACTGCCTTGCTTCTTGGGAGGTGAGGAAGCATGGTCCTGGGCGTTTGGTATCGTTGCTCGCTTAATGCGCTGCCCATTCGCTTATTCCCTCCGCCCGACGCGCGTTTACCGCCCCTCGCGCCTCCGCCGACGCTCGCTTAGGGCGCCGGCCCTTCCCGCCCGACGCTCGC